TGCTGGGTTCCTTTGAACCCAGTAGGGAGGGGAAGGAGAAAAGGAAAGAGAAAGAGAAAAAAAAATTTTTTTATTTATTAAATTATATATTTGGTGCCAAGTCACAATATTTTGAAGCTCGAGGTAAATTTAGTTGAAAAATGAAAGTTAAGGGACTGAATCGAGGATTTAACTTCTTTTTTTTAAAACCTTTAATCAGCAGTGGGGCCCACAAAAAAATTGGCAACAAGTAGACTTCCCGCTTGTGGGGTTCCAAGTTGGCATGCCAAGTTGTCAAAAAATTCTGAGTTGGTGCTGACATGCGCATACTTGACGGAAGCCAACGGTGCACGTGCTACACGTGACGTTCCGGCGTTAAATTTTGCCTCATTTCCTCAACTCGAAAACGTTGAGGGTAAAAATTCATGTATTGTAATATGGAGGGCAAAAACCCTAAAAGTCGAAAAGTTCAGGGGCAAAATGGTACCTTTTGCCAAGAATTCAATACTTGGATTCCTTAAACGAAAATTTCAATTATTTTCTTCTTCCAATAAATGAACTAAATTTTAAGCAAACGAAATCAATTCTGATGTTGAAGCTCAAGTGGCAAAAGTTATGAAAAGGTTACTTGAAATTAGGTGTTCAAACCTTGGAGGTGACAAATTTAAGTTTGGAAGTTCGACCCCGCAGTGGAAGAAAAAAGGGGAAGTTGCGGTGTTGTGCAGTTCGCCCGGCGGGTCTGCCGGGCGGGACGGGTCAAACGGGTTTAACGGTTCTGGACGGTCCGATCGTCCAAACGGGTTTAGACATTCATCCAACCCGTTTCAGCAACCGGGTGACGGTTGGACCGGTTCAACCGACCGGTCCGGTCCGGTTTTAAAAACAGTGGTTTCTCAAGTTGCAGACTTATATCTTGTCGGTAAATGGATGCTTCACCGAGAAACCTTCTTACCTCGGTTATATGTGGTCGGTGAAACTAGGTTTTCTTGTAGTGTTAAGAGCTTATGCTAAAAAAATCATTAATCAAAACAAATTCATATCTCAAGACACAGATTTGAGCTAAAAAGGACAGAAGGAGTCAATGCATAGGAAAAAGGAATAAGATTGATTCTCATTGCTTGCAGAGAAACAAATATTGCATATTGTTATTATTATTTTATATTACATAATAAAAAGTAACACTTATTCATCCCTTAACTTACTTTACTTAATTATTAATTTCAATAATAGACATTTTATTATATTTACAGTTTAATATTTAGACACTATTAATACACGTTAAATAGTTCTATATTTTTATCAATTAGACAATAAAAACCAAATTACAAAAGAGAAAAATGATTAATATAGACTTAATTTAACATACTTTTTGATACTCGTCCAATTCAAATATTAAAAATATAATATAAGTACAACTAATTCAATCAGTTTTTATATCTTATATGCATAATTATATTTTTAAATTTATTTATTTTTAAGTTTAAATTAAATAATAATAATTTAAAAAAAATGTACAAATCATTATATCATTAAAAAAAAAAGCCCTTTTTTTACACTTTAATTAATATTTTCCGGATTTGGCTTTCAAAGCATCCTCATCCATCACAGTGACATTTTCTAGATTAACCATTTGGTTTCTTCAAAGCACATCACTGCCCTTGTGCCAATTAAAATTTTCACATTTCAACTCAA